TACAAGTTTAGCGATTTAAATAAAATCTACATACACTGCGGAATGACCGATAATTTTTACGAAGGACATATTTGTGTACCTCGTGATCACAATTCGTTGCAAGCGGCTAGTGAAAAACTGCAAGTTTTAGTTTGACAGTTCTGACAGTACAGTTAAATGAGTTTCTGATTTTACTGTCCAATCAGATACGTAGTTTTGAACTTTAAATCAAAACTACGCACCTAATTGGACAATAAAATTAGAAACCATTTATCTGCCAGAACTGTCAAACTGAAACTTGCAGTTTTTCACACGCCGCTTGCAACGAATTGTGATCACGAGGTACACAAATATGTCCAACGTACCGGTAATTGACAAAACTGTCACTGACAAACTGCCTAAAGAAACGGTCGTTTTGCAGTTTACTGGGAACAATAGTACCTGCAAATGTTCAAAAGCACACAAAGCAAAGATAATAAGCGCTAGATGTTAAAACGCCACTTGTGATGAACAACCGCTGAAAAATCGACAACTGGCTCATTACTAATCCCTACCTAATCCCCATACCCTGGGGATAAATAAATTCTAAAAGCTTCAAATCCCCCACCCTCTTGGGAGTGTTTCCTGATCTAAACCCCTACCAATCCCCTATTAACCCCCACTTTGTCCCGGCAGGGGGGGGGGGTCCGGGTTTACATTGACTCATGCATAAATATTACATGGTTAAATATTACATTTTCAAAGTAAAAGCCGGTTATTCAACTGCTTATGATAAAAAGTTGGTAAAAGATGCAAACAGAAACATTTTGATTTTTGAGCTGGGAAACAAGTTGATATCATACAAACGCTTTTTACACTGTTCCAGAGAAAATGCCAAAGAAGTACATTCTGAAGGCTGCTCTCCAGTTAATTTTTCATATACGTACGTATACACATGGAAATGTATAAATCTTTATTTTATAACTACAGTGAAACACGCAATTTGATTGGTCAATAGCCGTGCAGGATCGGCTATCGTGCACGAGGAATTCAAAAATGCCTTCGCAGGATTTTCAAAAAGTCATTGTTTCACTGTAGTTATTTTATAAAACAATTACCAAATGGTTTTCCAAGCAGGATAGCGTGATCCATGCACTTGGGATGTTGCTCGACTTTCGGAAAGCGTAAAAATACACTCGCCTGCGGCTCGAGTATTTTTACGCTTTCCGAAAGTCTCGCGACATCCCTCCGTGCATGGATCACGCAATCCTGCATACGGAAAACCATTCGGTATTCTTTTATTCTAAATTTTATATAAGTACTAATTACCGCAACAAATATACTTTAAATCAAACATAAAACTGAATACTGCGCCTTTATTCATTTAATTATTTCATAAGAAACTTTTAAATGGTTTAAACTTTTCCATGCGTGTACGCACGTATAAAAACGCCTAATTAGAAAGCAGCCTTTACAGGGCATGCAGGGCAACAAAAATTAAATATGTGACATTGTTTAGACAGAAAGAAATCCTTAAAATGTAGAATAACGCCCGTATTCTAAAAGCTCACTCACACTCATACTCAATGAGTGAAGGTTCAATCTGAGCTTCTCTTGAGTGTCAATGTTGTTTTTGAATAGCTGGAGGGCTAGTGTCATACCTTACTCGGTGACTACTCACCCTCCAGCTATTCAAAAACAGCATTGACACTCAAGAGAAGCTCAGATTGAACCTCCACTCAATGAGTGTGAGTGAGCTTTTAGAATACAGGCGTAAGTCATCTTACAAAATTTTTAAATCTTTCTTTGGTTAGAAGATATTTCAGTTTATTTCATATGTAAATAAGATGAAGTTACAAGCTGGGTAAACTTTTTGACAGTCTCAAATTAGTCAATGGAATCATCGATATAGACTATGATCTATTTTGAACAGTGAGCTTGATGACTTTGGCGTGGCTGCCATCTTTGAAAATATTTTTTAACCTGAAATATTTCGAGAACGAAAAAGATTGTGAATGACTTATTTTACCGTTTAACGAGTTCCATATCTGTGTAAACAGACTTGAGTTTCATTGCCCAACCCTTTAATCATAATCTTGTGCATTTTAATTTAATAATTTCATTTCACTTATCACATTCGTTATTGTAGGCAATTCAGGAGGATGGAGGCTGATGTTTCTTTAGCCATTCCACAACCTCGTGTTCATGCTCTTTAACCCATCGGATATTTAATCGGATGCCTTCATACGCTTGTTGAAGACTTCGCGCTGCTGAACCAACATCTGGATTGGCTTCGAAGAACGCTTTCACCTAGAAAAGAAATATTCAGGCAATTGCAATATTAAAGCCCGAAGTTACAAGCAACCTGCTGAGGGATGCGATCTTATGTTGTCACGACAGTATGTAATTTGATAAAAGGTTTGAATCCAAGTTCATTCATTTTTTGTTTGTTTTATTTGTTCTTCTAGATTACTACAAAATTAAATAAGTTTTATCTAACGTTGCGATGGCTAGCTAGACTTGCCCCAAGTCTCTCTCGAATGGGTTTTGATAGGGTATATCCAGTTTATTATGAGATCTCCGTTTCAAGTTCAAAACTGATCTCATAATAAACTGGATATACCCTATCAAAACCCATTCGAGAAAGACTTGGGGCAAGTTTAATACTCTAATGGCTAGCCTGCTTGCCACCTGGAATTTCCAAGGGGGGATAATCATTTCAGAGAAAATTGCAGCATTTACTTCAAAACTTAGATTTCTTGAACCATGTAATAGAATGTCCACTGGTTGAGAGATATTCAAAACGTTCCATACATTTCCGGCAAGGCGCATGACAGAGGTAAGTATTGAAGCACGCAGAGCAGCAAAGCGAGGGGGGGATTATCCCCCCCCCCCTCCAGGCGGCAAGCAGGCTATTCGATGGTTTTCGTGTAGGAAACCGAAACGTCAGACAAAACTTATTTAATTTTGTAATAATCTAGAAGAACAAATAAAACAAACAAAAAATGTAATTTGATATTATGAAGAGATTTGGAGATTATGGAAAATTCGAGTGAATTTTTATACATTTATATTAGAGCAGAAATTGAACCTGCGATTCCAGAGCAGCGCTCTAACCAACTGAGCTACAGAGTCCAGTTGTCGAGCTCTAACCACAAGTACATGAATAAATACTAAGATGATGCCAATGAACGATGTATGGGTACATATCAGGAGGTTAGGCATCTCATTCAATATAACTAATTGTTGAAGGGACTTGTAGGAATCGAACTCTCTGCCTCTTGCAGGAATCTAACCTGCAGCCCTGCGAGCCACTGTCACTGAAGGTCCAAAGATTCGGTGTGAATATTTCGAACTCTTTCAAGGTTGACATGTACTGCAATTATACTATATATGCAAACCTAACCTAAACCTAACCCTTACCCTAGGACAGTATTATCGTCGATTTCAGTTCACTTTTCAAGACGCGGTTGCGAAGTTCGTTCCCAAGTTCCCAATTACGTTTCGAAGTTCGGAAGTTGGGCGGGAACTTCGAAACGAACTTCCGAACTTCGAAATGAACTTCCGAACTTCGATTTGAACTTCCAAACCCGATCGCGCCTAACATAGTAGGGATACATGAGACCGGAACGAAGTCAAACCAGGACCATTTCGTTTCGGTCATAGTATTATCTATAATAGATGTTTACATGAGACCGGGATGAAAATAACTGAGACCGGTGTCAAGTCATTCCGCCTGCTGAACCGAACCGACTGACTTCAGACTGGCATGAATTCAGACCGGATGAATGTAAACACAAATACATTTCAGACGGCGGTCTCGGCTGTAACCTTGACATTGGAACAACACATGCTAACAAAAGCCATCTGAAAAAGAAAATTGCCTGGCAAGGGGAATAAATTGACTATTTTGTGATCTTCGTATCGGTCTACTCATGTAAACATGTTGACAATTTCAATTTTCATTCCGGTTTGACTTCGTCCCGGTCTCATGTAAACGGGGCCTAAGGCAGCGTTTACACTGTACCGTTTTCGTAGCGTTCTCGTATCAGTGTTCTTAATCCTCAAGGGAACGCAAGACAATAGTCTAGTTCTCTCGAACAATACGAGAACGCTACGAAAACGGTACAGTGTAAACGCTGCCTAAGATGTCAGCCAAAACAAACTTCTTCAAATAAATTAATTAATTATTGCGAAGAAGAGTTGTTGTGTATTATCCACTGCATGTATATATGAATTGAGTTGAGTTTGAAGAGATTAAAACAAAGACTTTATGGTTAAAAACGCTACTGCTGAGCAAATTTGTAGTTTCACTTGTCGCGTCTTGACATGTTTGCGTTGTACACAAGACGTCTCTAACTCCCGTGGGACTTTTAATTATTCATTTCTTTTGTACGAGATCAGGACTATCATTGCATGAATAGCCGTCCTAAAACGCTTCGCCGTCCCGTTTGCTTAAGGTCCCTATCATGTCGAATTCGTATACGACACAAGGGAAAGCTTTGCCTGACAAAGTCAGGCAGGAAATTATAGAGAAGTGGTTGAATAACGAAGGAATTGCCGAGATAATTAATTTATTTGAAGAAGTTTGTTTTGGCTGACGTCTTAGGCCCTGTTTACATGAGACCGGGACGAAGTCAAACCGGAATGAAAATTGAAATTGTCAACATGTTTACATGAGACCGATACGAAGATCACAAAATTTTCAATGTATTCCCCTGGCCAGGCAATTTTCTTTTTCAGATGGCTTTTGTTAGCATGTGTTGTTCCAATGTCAAGGTTACAGCCGAGACCGCCGTCTGAAATGTATTTGTGTTTACATTCATCCCGGTCTGAATTCATGCCAATCTGAAGTCAGTCGGTTCGGTTCAGCAGGCGGAATGACTTGAGACCGGTCTCAGTTATTTTCGTCCCGGTCTCATGTAAACATCTATTATAGATAATACTATGACCGAAACGAAATGGTCCTGGTTTGACTTCGTTCCGGTCTCATGTATCCCTACTATGTTAGGCGCGATCGGGTTTGGAAGTTCAAATCGAAGTTCGGAAGTAATATTTCAAATCCGAGTTAGTGTTTTAGACGTGGTTTCTAAATACAAGTGCCATGAACAATGGCGAGGCGCAGCCGAGCCATTGTTCATGGCACTGGGGATTTGGAAGCCAAGTTTAAAACACTAACGAGGATTTGAAATTGCTTCTCACACATCATTAGACTTTCATAGCAATGAGGCATGAAATTATTAGATATTCAAAAAAGTGAGCGTGGGCATTAACGATTACATTCGCTTGAAAGTTTGCATGAAGCGCAACGAAGCATTCAGTTCGCTTTCGTCGTGAATAGATGAATTTTGTTGGCAAAAGAGCATGGTATCTTCTTATAATATAAGAAAAAGCGGTTTCGAGAACCAGAAAGTGTTGAGCACAGCATTGTGCACAGTATTGTCGCTCGGCTGACAAGGTTGGGGATCCGAAAAACGATATATCAGATTGTGTGTGCGATAAGGCGCTATCTGGTGGAAAATGAAAGAGCCGAAGTGAATATATATTTTATAGACGGTAAACATTACTGGTAAGTTGCTGTATTATAGTGTTTAAAGCGCTGTTTATTATGATAGTTGGTAAAAAAGTTGGTTTTCCTATATTTATGTAGTTTTCAAACGTTTAGGAAAAGTGTTAGCTATAAAGTGTAGTTAGAATAAATTTCTAAATACAACTTACTGTATTTAGAAATAATTCTAAACATAGCAATTAAATATATTTGCATAATCTTTTGTTTACGCCTCAATTTCCCTATTGTCCAAAGCCCTTCCCACTTGAAGTAATTAAAGTCCTGGTCTAGACGGGGTATCCAGATAGATACACGTGATGTAAATTAAACCATGTCATTGGCCGAAATGCTATGAATATCTAATGATGTATGAGAAGTTCATTTCGAAGTTCGGAAGTTCGTTTAGAAGTTCCCGCCCAACTTCCGAACTTCGAAACGTAATTGGGAACTTGGGAACGAACTTCGCAACCGCGTCTTGAAAAGTGAACTGAAATCGACGATAATAGCGGGATATGTATAGCTTGATTAGGTAAAAATGACATCGTAGTATATATTTAAACTTACTTCATTATAGTGGAATTCAGTCTGAAAATGAGTAGTGACAGCTTTGATAAGAACACCGAACGAAAATGCCTCGGAACCGTATCTAAATTAATATCAAGAAACAGCATAAAACACTTAATAAACAAGTCTTTAACATCAAGACACATACATGAGGATTTGTGAACAAACAAACAAACAAACAAACAAACAAACGAACAAACAAACAAACAAACAAACAAACAAACAAACAAACAAACAAACAAACAAACAAACAAACAAACAAACAAACAAACAAACAAACAAACAAACAAACAATAGGATCCATATACTAGCATTTTTTCAAAAAAAGTGCTGAAACAAACAGCATACCCACCGTTTTCTAAAAGTTGCCCAATGAATTCTAAAGAAATCCCAGGCTAACAATCTACCATTCGGGTTGCCAGCCACACTGCTTATTACGGAGTCACCATCCTGAGACTTAATCAGACTTGTATTCAGAGTGTATTCCAAACATCTGGAAAGGGAAGTTTGATAGTTACAGTAATGATTATAACAATTTATAGTGTTAATCAGTGTATACAGTCTCAAATGAAAACTAAAATTTTCAAAACTGTTCTCCCCATTGGTTCAATATAAGCGTCATTAGCCCACCGGGTGTCTCTACGGTTGTGGGTCCCTTGAAATTTAATACGCAATTATTAAGTTCTTGTGATGTTATGAGTGTATATCCACACCAGGCAGGCTTGAAAAATATGCCTGGCCACGGTGCAAATCGAACCTACGACGGTTCGATTCGACGGTTCGTAGGTTCGATTCCCACCGTGGCCAGGCATATTTTTCAAGCCTGCCCGGTGTGGGTATACACTCAGAGTAACATCACAAGCATCTTATTCACCTGAGTACATTACACAAACACAGAAAATATCATATTAACTTCTTATTAACCGAGCGCAAGGTCTTTACAAAGAATTATCGGACCGAAGTATTTTTTGAACAGACCGAGCCCGTAGGGCGAGGTTTGTAAAAAAAGACCGAGGTACGATATTTCTCTGTACGTACCGAGCAAGCGAAAATAAAAGGTTTATTATAAAAGGTTTATTAATAAAAGGTTTATTAATAAAAGGTTTATTAAAAATATATATAAAGATTTATTAATAAAAGGTTTATTATATGGCATTTATAGGCATTTATACTTGAAACAAACAATGCATATTAGTAGAAATGCATATTAGTAGCGTAGTACACATTTGATCGAAGAAAACAAAAATTACCAATGTATTCCTTTCTTTCCACTTAAAACCATTCGCAGATGTCTTATTAATAACAAATTAAATTATCATTTTCAAATTTTCAATTAATTTTGCTGTTTTCTTTCAAAATGCATGCGTTTGTTTTTACGTAATGGACCACCGGTCCATTACGGGAAATAATGGCCCACTGAAAGTGCTTCTCAGCCAATCACATTCCGCCATTTCACTGGAAGTGATGCTTGCCATATAATAAATGTAGATAATTCATGCGTATGAACACTTGTAAAGGTATATTTGGTCCAGTGATGCATCGATATGGAACTTCACCGATATTCCAATATCAAGTCAAAACTTTGATTTTTCGTAATTTTTAGGTGTAAAGAATTCGTTTAACTAGTTTCCTTAGATATCGGTAAAATCAACAACAAAATTACTGATACCGAAATTTCTATTTTTATACTAATAGTATACTGAGAAGCCGATACACCGATATGGATATCGATGCATCACTAATTTGGTCTTACTCAAAATTGGAATGCTCCAGATGAAATTCGGCTATATTTCGGTTTATTAAGAGGCAATTTTTTTCAATGTTGTGTACTGTATTTGCGATGAAAAGTGTTCAAAACCTAAAATCGTTTTGACGTTCCTCTCAAAATGACTTCGTTTTAGCTTTATTTTGTAGTTCACACATTTAGCAACCTTTTTAAATGTATCTGGCGAGAAACGCAAAATAATAGTTAAATATTGTCAATTTAAATACAAATGCTGTTAAATCGACGCCATATTTATGCAGCAATATAAGCAAAACTTACTGAACTTCACACATCTCTTTGGCGTACCATTTAAAATGACCAGTCATAAATAAACTAACCTTTGCAAAAGCCAAGCTTCCCGTGTGGCTGTCAAAGATAACAACAACTTTTTCTTCTCTTCAGCAACAATTTCTTTCTGATATTTTCCCCACATGAATTCCCATTCTTTCCTCGCCCCAAGCCTCACACCGGCATCGTACGCAACGTATCGGAAGTTAGGTGGTACACTATCGACAGAAATTTGTTGCGTCAATTTCGATATTAACAACCAACCACAAGATCAATACAGCCATTTCTCACTCTAGCTATTCCTAATTGGCGAAACAAGCCGACCTTTGATCGTTAGATATATATAAGCAACATTACCGCTCTGCAGAAAATCCAACGGCCAAATGGGGCTTACAAAAACATGGCATTTTCTAAGCACTACGAAGAATACCATCCTGGACAAGAGCCGAAATTTTCAGTTAAAATCGTAAAGAAAACTAATTAGGTCTTTGGAACGCAAAATCACAGATGCTCTTTTCATCCAACAATTAAAACCGGACTTGAATAGCAAATACGAACAGCTAAATATTTTGGATTTTGTCTTCAGTCCTGTCACAAGTTCCTAACGTCTTGTCCTGTTCTGCTCGTTGTAATTGGCTAACAAAAACAATCCACCAACGACAACGCTCAGAACAGAACAGAACAGAACAGAACAGAACAGAACAGAACAGAACAGAACAGAACAGAACGTCAGGAAATTAAAACAGGAAGTTAGGGAAATTTAAAAGGAAGTTTCTCTGCATTGGAATACTGCAATAGCCGATAGGAACATCTCTCAAGCGATTTGCAAAAAGTTTTCCAAATTTGCAATTATTATTTAGGAAAATTTCAAATGAGTTAGGAACTCAGAAGAGGAATGCTTCACGTAGTTCATAGGTAACTGATTACTGATACCTATACTGAACATACCAGAACATACCTCATTCGAGCCCTAATTCTAAACGTTCTCCTAACAACAACTAACATGCTAATACAAAATTATGCACCAAAGTTATTGTGACGTGATTTCAATCAGGACATTTATATGGAAAGTCAATCGTAAACCATGAGGTTAAATCACTCGGTAGCCATATATTCTGCAGGAATATATTATCCAGAAAGAAAGGTTTCAAAGAAGAACTTACTTACCTCTCAATCTCAGCCGTAAAGTTTTCAAACAGTCCTTTGGCCTTATTGATGGCAGGTTTGTAGTCAAAGTATGCAGCTGTACCAAACAGCGTGTCTCGTAAGTATCTAGGAAAGAAGAAACAGTCAATCGATCGTTCGCTCGGTACTTACGCCAGTCCGCCAAGCACAAGAATTACCTTTGCAGGAAAGGACCTTCGTCCTCAAATGTTAATTCATCCAAGACTGGCGTTGCTTTAGACAAAATATAATTC